CTTCCCTTTTTTAAAGATGGGCCCTACATTAGCCTTTTTCCAGTCGTCCGGGATATCCCCCGATCGCCATGAGTTTTCAAAGATAATGGCCAATGGCTCTGCAGTCACATCTGCCAACTCCTTTAGCACTCTCGGATGCAGCGCATCTGGCCCCATGGACTTGTGCTCATCCAGCTTTTCTAAATAGTCCTGAACCATTTCTTTCTCCACAGAGTGCTGGTCACCTCCTCCCCATGCTCTCCTGGACTCCTTTCCCCCTCATGTTACTCTCCCAGGGGATCCTGCCCATCAGTTCCCTGAGGGAGTCAAAGTCTGCTTTTCTGAAGTCCAGGGTCTGTATTCTGCTGCTCTCCTTTCTTCCCTGTGTCAGGATCCTGAACTCGACCATCTCATGGTCACTGCCTCCCAGGTTCCCATCCACTTTTGCTTCCCCCACTAATTCTTCCCGGTTTGTGAGCAGCAGGTCAAGAAGAGCTCTGCCCCTAGTTGGTTCCTCCAGCACTTGCACCAGGAAATTGTCCCCTCCACTTTCCAAAAACTTCCTAGATTGTCTGTGCACCGCTGTATTGCTCTCCCAGCAGATATCAGGGTGATTGAAGTCGCCCATGAGAACCAGGGCCTGCAATCTAATAACTTCCGTGAGTTGCCGGAAGAAAGCCTCGTCCACCTCATCCCCCTGGTCCGGTGGTCTATAGCAGACTCCAACCACGACATCACCCTTGTTGCTCACACTTCTAAACTTAATCCAGAGACACTCAGGTTTTTCTGCAGTTTCGTACCGGAGCTCTGAGCAGTCATACTGCTCTCTTACATACAGTGCAACTCCCCCAACTTTTCTGCCCTGCCTGTCCTTTCTGAACAGTTTATATCCATCCATGACAGTCTCCAGTCATGTGAGTTATCCCACCAGGTCTCTGTTATTCCAATCACATCATAATTCCTTGACTGTGCCAGGACTTCCAGTTCTCCCTGCTTGTTTCCCAGGCTTCTTGCATTTGCGTATAGGCACTTGAGATAACTTGCTGTTTGTCCTGCTTTCTTAGTATGAGGCAGGAGCCCTCCCCTTTCGCGTTCTCCTGCTCGTGCTTCCTCCCGGTATCCCACATCCCCACTTACCTCAGGGCTTTGGTCTCCTTCCCCCGGTGAACCTAGTTTGAAGCCCTCCTCACTAGGTTAGCCAGCCTGCTTGCGAAGATGCTCTTCCCTGTCTTCATTAGGTGGAGCCCGTCTCTTCCTAACACTCCTCCTTCTTGGAACACCATCCCATGGTCAAAGAATCCAAAGCCTTCTCTCCGACACCACCTGCATAGCCATTCGTTGACTTCCACGATTCAACGGTCTCTATCCAGGCCTTTTCCTTCCACGGGGAGGATGGACGAGAACATCACTTGCGCCTCAAACTCCTTTATCCTTCTTCCCAGAGCCACGTAGTCTGCAGTGATCCGCTCAAGGTCATTCTTGGCAGTATCATTGGTGGCCACATGGAGAAGCAGGAAGGGGTAGCGATCCGAGGGCTTGATGAGTCTCGGCAGTCTCTCTGTCACATCGTGAATCCTAGCTCCTGGCAAGCAGCAGACTTCTCGGTTTTCCCGGTCAGGGGGGCAGATAGATGACAGGCTTGACAAAGCCATGGCTGGGATGATTTAGTTGGGGATTGGTCCTGCTTTGAGCAGGGGGTTGGACTAGATGACCTCCTGAGGTCCCTTCCAACCCTGATATTCTATGATTCTATGACTCAGTCCCCCTGAGGAGAGAGTCCCCGACCACCACCACCCACTGCCTCCTCTTGGGAGTGATGGTCGTGGAACCCCCATCCCTGGGACAGTGCATCTCATGCCTTCCAATCGGCGGAGTCTCCTTCTGCTCCCTTCCCTCAGATGTATCATCTGGTCCACTCTCCGCATTAGTACCTGTGGAGAGAACATGAAAACGGTTGCTTACCTGTATCTGCGTTGCTGGTACATGGACGCTCCCCTTTCTTCTTCTGGAGGTCACGTGCTGCCAAATTTCTTCCCCATCCTCCTGTCCCCACTGCGCAGCCTGCTCTGAATCTTCAGAACCTTGTGCCCTTAGAAGCATTTCCTGACGTCTGTCCAGGAAATCTTCCGTTTCTCTTATGCAACACAGGGTCAGTACCTGTTGCTCCAGACCTTGAACCTTCTCTTCCAATATGGAGGCCAGCTTGCACTTTGTACAGACAAAGTCGCTTCTGTCCTGTGGAAGAAAGACAAACATGGCACATCCAATGCAGGTCACAACAGCTGAACACTCCCCATCCATGTTACCTTCCTTCTACGAGCTTCCTCAGGAGTTGTAGTAACTACTCAGAGAAGCCGGCAAGATGTAAGCCTCAGTGGGCTCTCCCCGGACGAACTCCCAGGCAAACTCCCTCTGTTAGCTGCTCTGCTGGTCGCTGGTTCGCAGCTGACTGGCTTTTTATAACAGTCAGGCCCACTCAAGGCTCACCTGGAACAAAGCACACCCAATTTACACTTTTCAAACAAACAACCAATCAAGCACATGGTCAAACTATCCCCAGAACAGACACTCAGATACTCACCAATACAGCCTCCCTAATGCAGCCCTTACCGTACCTCCTCTCAGGCAGATCCCAGGCAAACTCCTTCTGTTAGCCTCTCTGCTGTTCGCCACTCAGCTGGTTCGCATGTCAGGTGACAGTCCCAAGGGGGTCTCTTTGACCGAACCCGTCACACCCCTTTCCTGTGGGAGTTTTGCTAATGGCCCAGCTGCCCTTTAGCTAATGTATGGGGATGGGATTGGCTGCTGTCCTGGAACCCCAAAGTGTCACCTGACCTGGCTGTGGGAAGTGTGTCATTGACTGGAACTGACTGTGCAGAACAGGGGTCCCTTCAGGACAGCTGAGAGGTTAAGGCCAGGTCGATGTATACCTCTGCTTTAACCCAGGTGATACTGCCCCATGTCTCAGGGGAGCAGGGAGGCTAAATGCATCGATGCTTGGCAAGCACTTTGAGCTCCCCAGAGGAAGGGCATTGGGAAAGGGCAAAGTGTTATGAGATCTTTTTGATACAACCTTCATTCCCCCCTGCAGCTACAGGGAGATGTGCAAAAGCTGGGAAATCAGAGGCCTGTACGTTTGGTAGAGCGGGCCTGATTCTAGGGATCACTGCCTGGCTCTGCAGACTTACCAGCACTAGGAGGGCTTTGGGCATCCTGGGTGTGGTGTCCTGTGCTGGCTGGCTGGCGGCACCTTGCCATGGTCTGCCATGGCCAGACATAAGCACACTTCAGTTCTGGGGTCGTCTGAGCATCAGGGCTGGAGTAACCCGGGAAGTATTTAGCAGGCTCCTTTTACAGGACATAGAGTTGTTTGTATTAACTGTAAACTTTCTGATGGGAGTGTGTGTGCCGGGTGTGGGGGGTGGGGGGGGATGTTGAGGGGTTGTGTATTTGTGGGGGTGGGGAAGTGTGTGTGTTAAGGGGGAACTTAGGGGTGTGTTTGGGGGGGGTCTGTATGGGAGGATATAGGGAGTATTGGGGTGGCAGCTCCTGGCCCCTGCACTTGTCTCTGTTCTGAACTCTGTCCCGACTGTGCCATCACACTCCGTTTCCCCAGGCCCCGGCCAAGTCTCCCCATTAGATGTTACAGAGCGGGCGTGAGTGATGGTGGCAGAGCGCACCGAGCTGAATTCCCTCCTGCACTGAATGGGGACCACACACAGCCCAGTGCTGACTGCCAGGCTGGAGGCCTGTCGCAGGCAATACGGTCCCTTCTGTGACAAGTGCCTGAGCATCACATTGCAGCAGGCGGGGCCAGCCCAGGGTGGAGCAGCCCTCTCCTGGCTCGGATGGTGCTGTGGGGAGAGGGGCTAATGCCTTAATATCCTCGCTAGCCCTTTGGCTTCTCCCCTTTGGCACCGAGCACATCTGTTGGCTCCTCCAAAATCAAAAGCTGTAGTGGCTGAAATGGGCCAGATCCAGCCCGGGGGGTGCCCCTCCATCCTCACTGCAGCTTACTGCATCCTCACTGCCCCCAGGAGTGGTCTCTCCAGTGCATGGCGCTGTCTGCTGGGGAGAAGCGGGAGGTGCTCTGGCATCTGGGCTTGGCATGTCCTGCACTGATGCCTAGTGAGGGGGTCAGCTATGTGGCAGCCAGAGAGGGGTGCTTGTCATGGCTGCTTCTCCCTGAGTGCAGGATGGGTGGCTACTCCTCCATCACGCTCTGGCTGAGATTTCCATCGCTGCCATGGGGATCTGGACTGGACACAACATTCCCAGGGCCCGCGGGCTGCTTTGAAGATCACAGCCTGTCCAGCACTAGTGAGCCGAGTGTGCACAGGGTGGGTCGTGACGGACTGGATTGTGGGTGCCAGCATCGCACACCCCAGCAATGGAGGCTCTTCCTCGCTCCCCCATGCATTCTCTCTGGCTCTAAATCTCCCATCCATAAACCTTTGCCCAGACAGTGGGTCACTCGGATGGGGTGAGGGTCCATCACATCAAGTTGATCACCTGTGAGCCTGGAAGTCTGAGCTTGTGGGGAGTGAGGGGATGGGCTAGGAGAGAGGACAGCTGTAAGCACAGCAAGGCAGTGTGATCTAGTGGTGTGAGCACTGGCCTGGCTGCCCAGAGCTCGTGGGTTCTAGCCTTGGCTCTGACGTGGCCTTGGACAAACTGCTTCCTCTCTGTAGGACAGGGCTCGTGATCCCTACTCAGCCCCAGGGGTGGTTGGGCAGAAGGCTGGCAAGCCTGTGCTGAGATCTGTCTGGGTAAAAGTCCCTCTGATTTATTAAAATGCTCTGGATCCAGATCAGCACCTGAACAGTCTCTGTGTCCCTTACTGCTGTGAAAGGTGCTCTGGGCAATGGCACCCGAGGTCACCTCTCTCCTGAGGCGCCCTGGGTCCTCTGCTTAGGTGCTGCATCATAGCTCAGAGAACCCACCCTGCTCGGAGCAATGAGGCTGGACTGCTCTGGCCCTGCCTGACTGCTCTTTGTCTGTCTCCTTGCCTTGTGTTTCAGAGAGAACTGAAGGAGCAGCTCCAGGCACTGCAGGACAGCGAGTGCGGCCACACTGAGGCCCTGCACCTGCTCAAACGCCAGCTAGCCGAGACCAAGGTAACTGACTCAGGTGCAGAGCCCCCACTGGTTGGGGGTGGATCATGACCGCCCAGCTGTGGCCTGTGGAGATGAAGGTCTCAGTGAGCTTGGGTGTCTCAGACTGGGAGGAGCTGCAGTCCATGGATGGGGCGACAGACCTTTCACAGCCTCATTCTCCCCAACCCCCGCCGTATCCAGTCCCCATTGGCCTCCAGAAAAAAGCCCAGCTCCCTCCAAACCAGGAGGCTTGTGTAGCGGTGGCTGTGGTGTGTACTCCCAGGAACTGCAGACTAGAGGTTCTAGGGCCAGATCATCAAAGGTATTCAGATGCCAAACTCCTACTGAAGTCAATGGGATGGTGGTGCCTAAATACCTTTACCTGGTCCCTAGAGACCGAGCAGACCTGTTAGGTCCCATCGGCTGCCCGACTCAGGCCTGTTCCTATCGGACCATTTTCTCATGCTGCAGTTGCCTTGTTCCTGGTCTCCCATCGGTAGGACCTTCCCTTGGGCCGGTGACGCCACAGCCCAGCGGGCCATGACAAATCTAGACAGCCACCTGCTGTGGTCGGGCATCACTGCCCCAGGCTGCCGTGGCCTGAGGTGTGCCCGGGCCGGGGGCAGCTCGGGAGGGCAGCCAGAGGCTTTGCATCAAGTGCGGACGCAGCAGAGGTTTGCTCTTCCCTGGCCTGCGGCCCTTGGGCTCCTAGTGCCGTCTGTGCCTCGCAGTCCAGAGGAAAGCGCCCTTGTTACCTCCCCATTGAGCACGTCTCATGGATCCCTTTTGTGTGTTACAGGAGACCCTCGAGGCCCTGGCTGAGATCAGGGCCCCATGGTGCTAGGGGCTGCCCCCAAAAGCTTAGGCCAGCTCCACAATTCTAGTTTGGGTCCTACCTCTATCTGAAATCAGTAGAGGTGAGGAGCCTAAATGCTGGTGTGGCTCTGACCTTGCTGTGTAAGCAATTGAGGCAGACAGCGGGTGGGAGAAGGGGGGTGCTATGACCCCATGTACATATGGGGAGTCAAGGCCCGGAAAGATTAATGGCAGAGGATCATGTGCCCCCACCCAGCAGCTCCTCTTCTTCTCAGGGTGATGTCGTGGTGGGAGTCTGCTAGAGACCACCGGACCAGGGGGATGAGGTGGACGAGGCTTTCTTCCGGCAACTAACAGAAGTTACTAGATCACAGGCCCTGGTTCTCATGGGAGACTTCAATCACCCTGATATCTGCTGGGAGAGCAATAGAGCGGTGCACAGACAATCTAGGAAGTTTTTGGAAAGTGGAGGGGACAATTTCCTGGTGCAAGTGCTGGAGGAACCAACTAGGGGCAGAGCTCTTCTTGACCTGCTGCTCACAAACCGGGAAGAATTAGTAGGGGAAGCAAAAGTGGATGGGAACCTGGGAGGCAGTGACCATAAGATGGTCAAGTTCAGGATCCTGACACAAGGAAGAAAGGAGAGCAGCAGAATACGGACCCTGGACTTCAGAAAAGCAGACTTTGACTCCCTCAGGAAACTGATGGGCAGGGTCCCCTGGGAGAGTAACATGAGGGGGAAAGGAGTGCAGGAGAGCTGGCTGTATTTTAAAGAATCCTTATTGAGGGTACAGGGACAAACCATCCCAATGTGCAGAAAGAATAGTAAATATGGCAGGCGACCAGCTTGGCTTCACAGTGAAATCCTTGCTGATCTTAAACACAAAAAAGAAGCTTACAAGAAGTGGAAGTTTGGACAAATGACCAGGGAAGATTATAAAAATATTGCTCGGGCATGCAGGAGTGAAATCAGGAAGGCCAAATCACACCTGGAGTTGCAGCTAGCAAGAGATGTTAAGAGTAACAAGAAGGGTTTCTTCAGGTATGTTAGCAACAAGAAGAAAGTCAAGAAAAGTGTGGGCCCCTTACTGAATGAGGGAGGCAACCTAGTGACAGAGGATGTGGAAAAAGCTAATGTACTCAATGCTTTTTTCACCTCTGATTTCACGAACAAGGTCAGCTCCCAGACTACTGCACTGGGCAGCACAGCATGGGGAGGAGGTGACCAGCCCTCTCTGGAGAAAGAAGTGGTTCGGGACTATTTAGAAAAGCTGGACGAGCACAAGTCCATGGGGCCGGATGCGCTGCATCCGAGACTGTTAAAGGAGTTGGCGGATGTGATTGCAGAGCCATTGGCCATTATCTTTGAAAACTCATGGCAATCGGGGGAGGTCCCAGAACACTGGAAAAAGGCTAATGTAGTGCCCATCTTTAAAAAAGGGAAGGAGGAGGATCCTGGGAACTACAGGCCAGTCAGCCTCACCTCAGTGCCTGGAAAAATCATGGAGCAGGTCCTCAAGGAATCAATTCTGAAGCACTTAGAGGAGAGGAAAGTGATCAGGAACAGTCAGCATGGATTCACCAAGGGCAAGTCCTTCCTGACTAATCTAATTGCCTTCTATGACGAGATAACTGGCTCTGTGGATGAGGGGAAAGCAGTGGACGTGTTGTTCCTTGACTTTAGCAAAGTTTTTGACACAGTCTCCCACAGTATTCTTGCCAGCAAATTAAAGAAGTATGGGATGGATGAATGGACTATAAGGTGGATAGAAAGCTGACTTAGATTGTCGGGCTCAACGGGTAGTGGTCAATGGCTCCATGTCTAGTTGGCAGCCGGTATCAAGTGGAGTGCCCCAAGGGTCGGTCCTGGGGCCGGTTTTGTTCGATATCTTCATGAATGATCTGGAGGATGGTGTGGATTGTACCCTCAGCAAGTTTGCAGATGACACTAAACTGGGAGGAGAGTTGTCCAGGATTTCCAGGTTTATGGATCTTGGGTATCAGATAGAATACCCCAGGTCGGGGTTCCAGGAGTGTGTCTGTGCGGATTTGTTCTTGTGCTTTTTCAGGGAGTTTCTTGAGCAAAGGTGTAGTTTCTTTTGGTAACCCTCAATGGGATCAGAGAGTAATGGCTTGTAGAAAGTGGTGTTGGAGAGCAGCCTAGCAGCCTCTTGTTCATATTCCAGCCTATTCATGATAAAAGAATAAATGGTCCTGCTTCGAGCAGGGGGTTGGACTAGATGACCTTCTGGGGTCCCTTCCAACCCTTATATTCTATGATTCTATGATTCTATGAAATGGACACAAATCAGACATCAAAAATTATAACATTCTTAAACCAATCGGAGAACACTTCAGTCTCTTTGGTCACTTGATTACAGACCTAAAAGTGGCAATTCTTCAACAAAAAAAACTTCAAAAACAGACTGCAACGAGAGACTGCTGAATTGGAATTAATTTGCAAACTGGATACAATTAACTTAGGCTTGAATAGAGACTGGGAGTGGATGGGTCATTACACAAAGTAAAACTATTTCCCCATGTTTATTCCCACCCCACCCCCACTGTTCCTCAGGCGTTCTTGTCAACTGCTGGAAATGGCCCACCTTGATTATCACTACAAAATGCCCCCACCCTCACCCCCCCGCTCTCCTGCTGGTAATAGCTCACCTTAAGTGATCACTCTGGTTACAGTGTGTATGGTAACACCCATTGTTTCATGTTCTCTATGTATATAAATCGCCCCACTGTATTTTCCACGGAATGCATCCGATGAAGTGAGCTGTAGCTCACGAAAGCTTATGCTCAAATAAATTGGTTAGTCTCTAAGGTGCCACAAGTCCTCCTTTTCTTTTTGCGGATACAGACTAACATGGCTGCTACTCTGACACCTTTATTTTTAATGAAAGCCAAGATTCTCATATAATAATGTGACTCCAGAAGCTGGGGCTTTAACCAAAATACCAAATATTGTGAGAGGCACAAGGTGAGTGAGATGCTATCTTTTATTGGACCAGCTTCTACTGGTGAGAGAGACAAGCTTTCATCCAGTGAAAGATATTACCTCACCCACCTTGTCTCTAATACCTTGGAACTGACGAGGCTACACAAGACAGCATACAGATATTGAGAGACTTGGAGTAAAATCTTACAAGTTGGCACCACCAGGGAACAATCCCAACCGGGGGAAGTCTGACCTTGGCTCATACCAGGAGCGTTGTGTTCTTGGAACAGATGTGGGTTCCCTTTTCCGAATTTGGAACTTGCTGTCCAAATTGTTTGCCTGTTCTCAGTCACCCTGGGTGTGGCTGATCCCAGGCCTTTAGCTAGTGGAATACTAGGCTGAGAGGCTAAGGGTATGTTTACCCTGCAGTCAAAGGTGTGACTGCAGCATATGTAGACAAACCCCAGCTAGCTTTGATCCCAGTAGCTGCAATAATAATAGCAGTGACGCTGCATCAGCAGACACTCGAATACACACCCAGGGTCCTGGGCAGCCTTATGCAGTCCATGTTGCCGCTGTTCCTGTCCATGCTGGCTAGGTCAGAGTTAGCTGGGGTCATGCTGCAGTCACACCTCTGACTGTAGTGCAGACATACCCTTAGAAGCACAGATCAGAACTCATAGCCCAGGGCAGGGAGGCTAAGGTAGCTTTGTCACCTTTATGCCATCCCAGTTCTTGGCTGATCCATGATCCTGGCCCGGGCTGCCTGTGCACTGCAAAGTGGGACAGAATCTCCTCTGTGCTGCAGCCTTGCCATGCCACACTCCTGCCCCCAGCCCCTGCAGCAGGGCTTCTGTGGGGGTCCCCAGAGGGCGGCCTCGCTGCTATCTTCCGCAGTGCCTGCTGTAGGCGCATCTTCCCCCAGCTGGATCTGGGGCCTTTACAGCCGCTTTACTTTGCTCCAGCCCTTTTACCTGGTGTAAAGGGGCTGGAGTGGGGGTGATGATCTCACCCTCCGTCATTGGTGGTGAAACCACTTCTCAGGCTGTATCAGCCACTGCAGCACGGTTGGGTCTTGCCTCTTTCAGATGCCATGTTTAACAGGCTGCTTTTTCTTGCAGTTTGTGAATGAATTTAGGGCTTATGAAAGTGAGGGATTGGCAGCTGAACCCCGGCATCCTATGCCATTGTCCACGCAGCCTTCCCACACCCAACTCTGCCAGGGCACCTTGATCCTGACCTGCACATCCTGCTGCTATTT